GTGCAGACAGGGGCAGGCTTGTCCCCTGCCTTGTAGGCACCCCCGGGGGCTGCTTCTGCAACCCCAGCTCTGCCCCTGCCCCTGGGGAGGGTCCCAGGGGGTGCACGGCTCAAGTTGCAGCATTTCACGAGGAAGGCGGCGAGCCCCCCTCCTAGGAAGCCTGCAAGACTTGTTGGGGATGCTGGGCTGGGGCCTCGCGCCTCGTGCCCTCGGGGTGCGCACCCCAGGGAGCCGCGGGCGCCTCTGCGAGGAGCGATGCACGAGCCACGTCCCGCCGGGACACGGGGCGCGCCACGGCGGGGAGGATTCGCGTTTCTTCCACGTCTCACGAAGCCTGCCCCGGCTCGCGTGTCGTTGCAGGCTTCGCGGGGAGCTGGGGCGTTTCGCCCTACAGCTCTGGCCTGTAAGTCGCCTCCCCCGTTGCCTGGCTGCACCGGGGGCGCGCGGCGCAACCGCCACCCCGGGCGGCACAGGGGGCCACTTGCGCCCAGCGAATGCTGCACGTCCGCCGGCTCCATCCCCGCATCATCGCAGCTGCACGGATGGAGCCTGGATCGACCCGTCCTGCAGCAACACCCTCAGGACAGCAGACCCCTGTTCGGAAAAGGGAAGGCAATATCCCTGCTCCACCAGCCCTGCAGGCCTCTCTAATGAGAAAGCCCGCTTGGCAGGCTCCTCTTCATATTAAAAACCCAGGCCGTGATCCAGCTCAGGTGCCAGGGCACCCGGGGGTGCCTGGAGACCCTTTCGAGGCTGCTGTGCAGCATTGCGCAGCGTGTAAGTGCGACTCTCTGGGCAAACCCTGAGATTTCAAACAGGAATCCGGGTGGGGGCGAACACGGTCTTTCCGAGTACTTTGCAACAGGAGAATTGCCCTATTATGTTTTTCTGCTGTCAAAAAGCAAGTGAAAACTAAGAGCTGGCATTTTTCGGCCTAAAAAAAGGTGAGGAGCCACTGCTGTGGCTAAACGATGGGATAAACGCAGTGTGTTCTTCATGATCTACTCTAAAGCCATCGGCAGCACTGGCCAGAAGCGAAGCGACGCGTCCCCTAGCAGGGAATCCTGTCGCCTGGGCGCCCTCCTCTAACCCCCCAGGGTGCAGATTAGGACCCAAGCGCCTGCACAACAGCAGCGCCCGGCGTGGGGCAGCCTGGGCGAGAACCCCAAGAGCAACTCGGTTTTCACACACCTCGGCGCTCGCTCCCAGCAGTGGTTTGCCCGGGAGGGCAGGATTCGTGCCTGCTTTCACCCCGCCTTGCAGTCACCTGCGTTTGCACGGTGCGTCTCACCTGCTTTCCAGCAGCCAGGTGGGGCATAGGGCTTGGCACAGAAGGAGGGATGGGGAAAGAGAAAAATATTGTCCCAGGACAGATCTTATGAAAAGCACCCTGGGATCGTGCATGTCTAGGCAGAGCCTCCCAGCATTTCCAAAGGGGATATTGGTGCTCCAGCACCTATAGGGAGGAATCAGGACCTTTGTCTTCCAGGCGCCAGATAACACATCTGATTCTCTAATAGCTGTAATCAGGGTGTTCATTGAACACACATGATGTCGGAGTTCACCCGTCATCTGCCAGGTGATGCATGGAGCTGGGAGGGGGAAAGAGCCAAGTGGACTTTGCTGGCATGATAACTCTGCCATCAGGGGGTCCTGCTTTTCTTCCTCTGCTGGCCCCAATCAAGGTCAGCCCTGCCTCATAATTAAGGAGTTGGGGAGGGCACAAAGTCCCACATCCGGCTCCTATCCTTTCCCACGCACGGCTTCGCAGGCACGGACGCAGTGCCGTAGAAACCCTCCTGCCCTCCGACAGCCGGGTCTCCCCTCGCCAACAAGCGGAGGGGTTTGAGGCAGGGAGGCTCAGGCCGTCTCCTTCTCTGCCAAACCCCAGCCCAGAGCCCTGAGACTCGGCCCCCAGCTCCTGGCCCATCCAAACCCTCTCGGAGGGCCCAGCCCTTCCTTTTATACCCTGCAGGGAGCTAATTGCCACCTGTCCCACTGCTTCCTAATGAGTGAGCCACTCCAGTTAACCCCTTCTCTGCTGCGTGGGGTTTAGGAGCCTAGCAGGACTTGTGGGGTGGAAAACCAACGATGCTGCATGGAGGCGCGGAGAGGCCGCATGCATCCGTGCTGGCAGGTAATGGTGTCAGAGGCATCCGGCTGGAGGAAGGATGCAGCTTCAAGCCACGTGCCCCTGGACAGCCACATCCACCCAGAGTCCTGCGTGGCCCTGGCCCCTTCACTAAGCGTTCGCTCCACTAAAGGATGGGAAGTATTTGCACCTCTGGCTAATCCTTTCCTCGCCTCCACAGTTGCTTCTTGCGTTGCATGCGCCCTGTGCATTCAACGGCCAAAGGAACAAGTCTAGATCCCCACTGACAGGCAAGTCCTCCAAACCCCTCAGCAGTGCATCAAGTGCATGGGCTTGAGGTGGCAGTGGACCTGCTGTGCAAGAAAACACCTGTATTTACACAGAAAGAAAGAATGAGCTTGCTGTACCCCGCACTGTGCATGGGGTAGCATTGTGCAAGGAAACGCACATCTTTGCACAGAAAAGAAAGAATGGGGTACCTCGGTCCTAAAGGTCCTCTGGGACCTAGGTAGCCCATTCTTTTCTGTGCAAAGACGTGTGTTTTCTTGCACGGGGCGACTCATACCCCTTCGGCAGAGGCTGTTTGGTGAGCCCTGGGAACGTACAACGCATTGCAAAAATCACAGGCAGGGGTTTCTGGAGGAGCTGCACCTGCACTTGGCTAACTCCTCTCTGGTTTCTCCCTGTGTCGCGGCCCCAGGGTCCCTGCTCACCTTGTCCTGCCTTTCTCGCCGCGTCGTGTGCCGGGTGATCAGCAAGACTGACCTGGCCCTCTCCTTCCATGATAATCTGACCTTGGAAACCTCCTGGGAAACGCCGGTAGAAAGCAAGTATGGATTTTACATCGGCTTGGCCCTCGCCGTCTTCTCCAGCTTCCTCATCGGCAGCAGCGTCATCCTCAAGAAGAAGGGGCTTCTGCGGCTGGTGAAGAAGGGGGGCACCAGAGCAGGTAGGGCTCCTCGGAGCCGGTGGTGGGAAAGGGGGGGTTTGAGACCCAGAAGCATCGTTCAGTCTCCCGTGACCGGTAGGGTGGTGGGGCACAGGGCAAGGTTTGCCACGATCCAGGCTGCTCCAGGCCTCGGGCAGGACCTTGCAGCTGCAAAGCGGGAGGGAGTTTTGGGCCAGCCCCCGAATTTTGCAGAACGACCCGCTCCCCACCCTCAGCAACGCGCGGCTCGGATGGGATGAGAAAGCCCCTGTTATCTATAGGGGGGTTCCTTATACGCAGCACCAGGGCTGCATCGCTTCAGCCATTTCATGATGGATAGGGGTAAAAAGTTGCTCCCATCTGCACCAGCTCCCTAGCATCCAGCAACCAGTGCCACCGCCGTCCAGCTGCCATCCCCAAGAGGCAGCCCTGTCTATAAGTCTGCAAGCCTCATGTCTGAGCCCTCGAACGATGCTGCCTGGGACATTGCCTGCAAGACGGTCTGCCCGTCCCTGCGCTCGTGTGCGCTGCAACGCTGTGCCAAAGCAGCGTGGGCTGCCTGCGCTGCCTGGGTCTTCTCCCTGACCCAGCATATCTGGGCCCGTAACACGGAGCAGGGCAGCAGTCGGGGCTTGAGCAAGAAGGCCGCGTGCCTGGGCGCATACAGGGGATGATCTGGGTGGGAGGCTCGGGTAGGCTGTAGGTGTGGCCGGTTTGTGTGGGATGGTTGCACAAGGCGTGCTGGCGTTCAGCACAGCAAGGCCCTGCAACAGCTGGCTTAGGCAGAGGCAAGTGCCCGTCTTGCATCTTCGGACCAGCATGTGACAGCGAAGGGTTTCCGCAGGCTTTGGGTGCATTTTCCCAGGCTTTGCAGGTGCAGAATTACAGATCCTTTATCTGGCACCTAGCAGACAAAGGTCCTGGTGGAATTGCACGCGTAGGTGTGTGGGTGCACATGAACGTGCCCAGGGAGCGAACGCGCCCGCAGCACTTGAGGACAGTCTGCAAACCCGTGCAGCCGGAGCCTTGGTCCCTTAGCACGGGCTGATAACACCGGCAGTGGAGGGAGGGGAAGGGAGCTTTGCCTTACAATACCTATTTTCTATTGCATTTAATAGTCTGCCCCACACTTTAAATGCCCGCCCCTGCAAGGTGCGACTGCTTCATGTATAGTGTCTTTTCCTTTCTCTGTCGTTCTTCCTTCCCATCCCTTCCAAAAGCCATTTCGCACCACCACCCCCTTACCCCCCTTGTTCCTCAAATGGTGACTAGTTATTTCTTTTTCTGTTAGCCCCTAAACTTCTGTGTGCTCTGCTTTCCCAGGAGACGGCGGTCATGGCTACCTGAAGGACTGGCTCTGGTGGGCTGGACTGCTAACCAGTGAGTAGGGCTGTTCACATTCCCATGGCTCCCAGCTCCTAACTTGCTTTCCATGGGGGGTCAACCAGGACAACGGGCCACCTGCTTCGTCCAAGGGCTCGGGGGTCGTTCGGTGGGGGGGGACGCAGCGCAGACCTGCTGTCACATCCCAGCCCTCCTCCTGGCTTGTAAAACTTGCTTTAAGTGCCACTTGTTGGACCCAGCTAGAATCGACCCCAAGAGCTTCTCCCGTGGGAGCCCGGGGAGGCCTGCTGCATCTCCCTCTGTGATGCTGGAGGAGGTCAGGCCTGGCTTCGGCTTGCAAATTTTGGGTTGAGGTGTATTCTCACCCCTGGGCCTGAGGCTGAATGCAGGACGCAGGACTTGCTGCAAAACCCCTGTCGCTGAAGCTGACCTGCCTTTGTGTAGTTCTTGCTGGGATCACTCCCATGTCCCCTGCAGCCCAGGACCGACCTCCCTGGGGAAACCTGTGCTGCTCTCCCTTATCACAGGCACCAGTAACCAAACACAGAGGGACTCACATGCTGTTTGCTTTTGTCCTGTTTGCTCAGTGGGTGGAGGGGAAGCGGCCAACTTTGCTGCCTACGCGTTTGCACCTGCCACGATTGTGACTCCGCTGGGCGCCCTGAGCGTGCTCATCAGGTGACTTACAGCTCTCTGTATCCGGAGGTTTGACGCTATATTTTTCCAGTCTCAAAGTGCCAGATGGTGCTAATGGGGGAGGGAGATACCTGGTCATTGCTATAAAATAGGCAACCATCCAGAGGCTCGTTTCCTGGCAGGGCATGTGGCACAAAGCAATGTTACCCCTTAGGTTAAACTCCCTGCTGCTGGGCACATCTACACATGCACTTTAATGCACATTAGTGTTACAAATTACGCTCGTAATTCCTAACATTAGTCTATTTTAATGTGCATTACAGCATCACTAAAAAAAACAGTACTCTATACTTAATGTGCATTAGGACAAGCTAATGCACATTTTCTTAGTACCACACAACGGGTACTAGATTTAACGCGCATTAACCAAAACACATGAATGCATGTGTAGATGTTCCCGCTGATGAGCAGTACTGTGTGTTCATGTGGCCGGCGGTCCAGGATCCACTTGGAGGAATTGAGAAGAAAATCTCAGGGGGTCACATCTAGTCCAACCCTCTGCTCAAAGCTGGACCAGCCCCAACTACATCATCCCAGCCATGGCTTTGTCTACCCGGGTCTTCAAAACCTCCATCAAATCCATGGTCCTTGAACCCTGGGGTCTTGAGCCTCTTTCTTTGAGCATGAAATACTTCAGACTGTCCAAGTGCCCGGGAACGGAAGTGGCAGTGCCACAGGCCCATTTGTGGAGGTCCTTTGCAGAGCTGTCTGTGCTGTGAATCCCACGACACGCCAGCATCCAAGGAGCTCTGGGATTATCCCCGTGCACTCTGAAGAGTTGCTCTACTTACATCCATGCAGTCGGGAGACGAATTCCTCCCTGAGCAATTATGAAACTCAGCATTTAGGATACTTCACCTGTAACATCTAATACCAGTCCTCTGTCAATCGTCTCGGGGTGCTGCATTGACGTGCCTCATTCTTCCCACCCGTGCAGTGCCGTTCTGTCTTCCTATCTGCTCGGAGAGCGACTGAACCTGCTGGGGAAGCTGGGCTGCATGTTGAGCATCGTGGGGAGCACCATGATGGTGATCCATGCTCCGGAAGAAGAGGAGGTCACCACTCTGGATGAACTGTCTTCAAAGCTGAAAGAGCCAGGTGAGCAGCAAAACCCGTGCCATTGGCATCAGAAGCGGGGCTGTGTAGTGCATGGAGGTAAGGCATAAAAGTGCGGTGAAGTCTGTGAATGCTTCTTGAGTGAGAACAGAGCCAGGTGTCTAGCTGAAAGAGGTGGAAGTCCCCATGCTGACAGAGGAAGGTGATTCTTCCCCTCTATTTGGCACTGGGGAGGCCACATCTGGAGTCCTGTGTCCAGTTGTGGGCCCCCCACGACAGAAAGGATGTGGACACTTTGGAGAGAGTCCAGCGAAGGGCAATGAAAATGGTTGTGGGGCTGGGGGACGCGACTTAGGAGAGGCTGAGGGAACTGGGCTGATTGAGTCTGCAGAAGAGAAGACGGAGGGGGATTGAACAGCAGCCTTCACCTCCCTGCAGGGGGGCTGCAAAGAGGATGGAGCCGGGCTGTTCTCAGTGGGGGCAGATGACAGGACAAGGAGCAATGGGCTCAGGCTGCAGCAAGGAAAGTTGAGGTTGGATGTTAGGAAAAAATCTCCCTAGGAGGGTAGTGAAGCACTGGGATAGGTGACCCAGAGGGGTTGGGGACTCTCCATCCTTGGAGGTTTTTAAGACCCGGCTAGACAACACCCTGGTGGGATGATGTAGTTGGGGCTGGTCCTGCTTGGAGCAGGGGTTGGACCAGATGTGAGCTCCTGAGCTCTGTCCCAACCCTCCTTTTCTAAGCTTATAAAATGTTACAGCAGCTGACCCAAATCTTGCGCTATTCCACTCAACGTGAAGGCTGCCTCGTTCCCTCTCCCAGGTTTCCTTGCATATGCGGCGATCCTCTTGGCAGTCTGTTTGGTGCTGATCTTCTTCCTGGCCCCACGCTACGGGCAGACCAACATCCTCGTCTACCTCACCATCTGCTCCGTGATCGGGGCCTTCTCGGTGTCCTCCGTCAAAGGACTTGGCATTGCCATCAAGGGCTTCTTCGCTGGCTGGCCCGTGCTGCAGCACCCGCTGACCTGGATCCTGGTTGTGACATTGCTGGCATCCATCACCACGCAGATCAACTACCTCAATAAGTCCCTGGACATTTTCAACACCTGCTTGGTGTTCCCCATCTACTACGTGCTGTTCACCACCATCGTCATCACCACGTCCATCATTCTCTTTAAAGAGTGGGTCACCATGTCGGTCGTGGACATTATTGGGACAGTCGGTGGCTTCCTCACTATTATTTTGGGGGTGTTTTTGCTCCATGCCTTCAAGGACATGGACGTCACTTTAGGGAACCTGCCACAAATGCTGCAAAACGCCGACGATGAACCTGCCCCCAAGGACGACAGGAACATCCTGGTTGAAGTGGACAATCCCAGCATGATCCCCGAGGATAAACCCAAAGTATTCATGATCTACAGCTAAAGCATCAGCAGGCACATCCCAGGGGGAAGGGAGCTGCTCTCAAACTGGCTAGAGCAAAAGCATCCAAATGGGATCAAGCTATTTTAAAGAAAGGAAAACAAATAGAGGCCTGATCCAAAGCCCATTGAGCGCCATGGAGTCTTTCCATGGACTTTGAATCAGGATATGATCTAATGATGTACGAGCAAGCGGTATGTTAGTCTTCACACAGATGTCCAACGGAAGTGCAAGTTCCTTGCAAAAAGGAAAAAAATCACCTGCTCTGGGATCCTTTCTGCTCCCTGCTCCTTTACCAGGACTGGTTTCCAGGGGATGTTCTGCATACTTTCCTTCCTGAGCAAAACCCCTGTGGATGTTGCACTTACTTCCAAGTGACCCCCATCGATGGTCCCTTTACTGAACATTTCCCAAAGGTCTTAGGCCCCCCTTGCAGAGCACATCACCCCAGCATGATCAAACAGAGCTGGGAGATGCAGAAGGCACCTCCTGTCTTTGCAAAGCCCCAGACTCAAGAGCAATACTAAGCCCTGACATCAAACAGCTGCTGCCCACAGCCTGTGGGGAAACGTGGCTGTCAACTTGTCCTGAAAGCGAAATCTTCTGGCAGGCCAAGCAAGGAAGCGGGGAAACAGCCCCCTCCAGCTCCTCCTTTTGAAAGCCAGTTGCCCACCCATCCAGAGCATGCACACGTAGCGTTAAGCCAGCAAAAAACAGTTGTTTCCATCGTGCCCCATTAAAGACTGTTCAAATACGTGTTGCACCTAGCACTGTTATGCAAGTCGACTCGAGCATCTCTGCAGGGCTCATCCAAATCATCTTGGGCAGCATCCTGGACTGCTACCGAGAAGCCCGCTTCACCCCCTCGACCCTGCGCGGCACGTGCCAAATCCGGGCAGCGCAGCCGGCTCAGCATCCCTGCGGCTGCCCCAGCACCGCTGTCCGGCTCTGCCTCAGTTGTGCTTCCCTGCACACACTCGGGGCACTCTCAGGTGACCGGGCTGCCTCCTCTCCAGCATTTGACCCAGGCTGAGCGGCAGAAGGGGGCAGCAGTCTGGGGCATGGCACGGACGTGGTGCGGGCCAGTCCATGCAGGAGTCTGGTACCAGCTTTCAAGCTCTGAATCCAACCATCCTTCAAGAGAAGCACAGAGCAGATCTTTGAATGGTGCCCCTGAGCCCTCTCCTGGTCGTGGGACAAAGCAGCATCTCCTATCCCTAAATCCCAGGAGAGCCGAGTCTCGGTTGAGCAGCTCACACCAATCCCTGTGCAAAACGTGCCTTGCTCAGGGAGCCGTGCTGGTTCCAGGCTGGTACGAGCCATCGCGGTGGACTGTATACAGGACAGCCCAGCATACCTGGGTACATGAGCAGCCAGTGCCACTGCTAGATAAAACGCAGTATTTCAGGTGCTTAAATGCTGCAGGATGTTTCTGGGGTGTACTTGGTAGCTGTGCTGGCCTGAGACCAAACTAGAACTCTTGGTTCCAAAATGATACCTTTTATTAGACCGACTGGAAAATGGCAAGAAAACTGTCCTTTTCTGCAACCTTTCTGGATCAAAGTCCCTTCGTCAGGCTCTGGGAAAAGTGTCGATGTTACAAGATGGTAAAAAGTCCCCATAGGTAGGAAATGATATTCCTCTCATTCCTGTACTGCAAATGATCTCTGATTCTCCAAGAGATGCCTGTTACCTCTGGAAAAGAGAGCACGCATGCTATAGCTTCTGGGTTTCACATGCTCTGCCCTTGGGATTCGGGCCTGTTTGGAAAAGCGGCGCCGCTCTCCAACTCCTCTGAGATCCCGGCGGGCTGAGACCACAAGCAGAGCCGGCTCCTGAGCACTGGGCCGCGTTGGCCCAGAGCAATTTCGGCATCGAGCCGTCATGTTATACGATGACACTTCTCCGTGCTCTGCGAGCTGGGGCCAACTTGATCGTGGAGGTGAAAGAAGTCACTTTGAGCTTTCCGGCCAGCTTCTGCCAGTCTCTGCTGACTACTCATTTACTCCGCGGGGTGTCCGCTCCTGGAGCGAAGGTCTACTCGGCCCGAGTCATGGGACCCGAGCTTGGGTGGTGGCATCTTCCACAGGGCATGAAGGAGAAAGTATTCCTAATGCCTTTGTGCCTGTGAGCGCTGTGTCTTACCCGGATGGAGCATCAGCCTGTGCCCACAGCGATTGCTGCGGTCTCCTCCAGACCGGGCCCAGGTCAGTGCAAGCCGCTTGCGGCTGGGAGACCAAGGCAGTGCAGTGCTGAAGGGGTTGTTTGGTTGCAAAACTTAGGGGAGCAGGAGGCTTGGAGACCCCAGCAAACTCTTCAGCTCTCGTTCCCCAGCCCTCACATCCCATCAGTACAGCTTGGGGCTATCGAGAGAAACCTGCTAGTTGTTAGAGGCCACGTGGGAATGAGTGGGTGAGGCTAGGTCTGGCCATATTTATTTTGCTGTTAAAACTCTGCTCCCTCGCATCCTCCTTGCACAGTTTCTCTGGCTGTGCTTCGCCCTCCCCTTTCCATCCCTTTTTCCCCTTGCATTTTCATTCTGTCCAGCCGTTGTTGCACCGTCTCTCAATGCAAACCCTGCGGTGTCCGGGCTCACCACCACCCCGGAGCCCCAATGCGGGGGAGAAAGGGGGTGAAGCCAAGCAATGTGCATTCATTCACGCCTGTCCAGCTGTTCCTCAATCTTGGCCAGCCTCTGTATTAAGTTAGCAGGGCCAGTGCACCTGAGAAACCTCCTTGCACCTTTGGATGTGGTGCAACTATATGTCTGGTCCCAGGGGAGAGTTAAGCCCCTGTAATCACTGGTGCTCAAGGGCTGAGATCCCAGGGATAAAACCACAGCTGGCATAAACTTTCCTCACTCCATTACCTCAATCAACCAGCTCTTAGGTTTCTGCTGCTTATTTCTTCGTTGTCTTTTGAGAGGACGGACACCGGCATCCTTTTATGCCTAGAGGGGTGAAGCTTAAACCAGAAGTGCTGATCTTGGCACAAGGAAGTGTGGTGTAGGGCAGCCGTGGCAGGGACAGAAATCGTAGTCATCGAGCACGGGGCGGAAAGGGAGCTCCAGAGGTCCCATCTAGCCCATCCCCTGCCTGAGAAAGAATCAGCCCCGTCCAAACCAGCCCAGGAAAATCTAAACTCCTTGTAAAAGTACCATCAATCCTGACACAAGCCATCACACTTGACCCTGCTCTGGCCCGTGTCATTTCCTCTGGGGGCCTCAGCACCAAGCGAGTCCATCCAGCCCCATCTACAAGACTTGGGGGACCTCAGTCCTCACGAAACACCTTACCCTCAAATCAAAGCAGCCAAAGGTGTATCCACTGCGCTGTCTGACCAGGCGCGATCCCCAGAGCAGTTGCATTTCAGCCCTGTTTGCTTGTATTTGGAGAGGGGAAATAAAGGCTTTTTGTACCAATGCGTGCAGGTGGGTGTGAAAGCTTTCTGCGTGCTTCCCCCGCCAGGAAGGTATTGCCCAGCCGCTCACAGAGCATGCAGGCTCCCGGTATCCTCAGCACTGCAAAGAATAGAGCGTGCTGTGGACAGGAGAGCAGACAAGGTTCATTGGGTAGATGTGATTTCTGTTATTAGACCAATTAAATAGTTGGAAAAAAGTTTTTTGCAAGCTTTAGGGCACAAGCACCCTTTGTGGAGAGGAGAGTAGCCCGGCAGCGCCCTCACCTGGCAATGGGGTATGGTCCCTGCTGCCCGAGCTCTCCCATACCAATGCAGGCAGTAGCTGATGTATTTGCTCCTTGCATAAAATACTGGAGGTAATCTGCAATAGCTTAGGGTCTTTCTCCTGCCTGGACCACGTCCTTCTGTTTGGAAAAGTCCCCTTTTCCTGCACGCCTGTCATTTCAGGACGTGGCGTTGTTTAAAAGCATATCTGTTGTCAGCTTGACCCCTCAGTCTCGGGTGTGGACTCGGTTAATCAAAGACCTTGCTCCCCATTTTGATGCCAATTGACAATAAATTTATTAAATCTAAACCAGGCAAAAGGCACAAGGAATTGCATATTCAAGTATTTGCATAGATGCACCAAGATCATTACTGTAAACCATTAATACACGGACAGAAGAGGAAGTGACACATATTCACATATGTTCTCCCAAGAAACAACAACAATAAGTACCTAAAATCACCTTGTATCCCCCCCAAGTCCCATCCACTCGCCTCACACGTACACGTGTACAATGCAAAAGGATTTGCTGCGTGTTACCTTCGGGAGGAGCTGTAACTTTCGGGAAAGACCGGTTTGGGTTGTATTCTACGCTTTGGGTTTCCTGCGGGATCCATAGAGGGCTTGAGTCCATGTCTCAACAGTCAAAGAAAAAACTCCTGATGAATTTTGGGGGGCATTTGATCAGAACCAGAGGCTGTAAACTTAGGTGGGTCACTGGCTTCAGGGATTAATAAGTCATACGTGTGCGTGTGAGTGATCTGAATAAGGTGTCAAGCTGTATGCAAAAGGCCTCATGCTGATTGGGACTAAGACCCGAGTCAAGTAGTGAGAAGCTAGTAAAAGTGGCTGCTACGGTCCTGGAAAGGAGCCCCTGAGGAACAGCTCCCGGCTGGTGCAATTCCCTCCTGAGCAGTCTTCCATCACTGCTTTTGGCAAGGAAAATATACAAATAAAGTGCCTGCAAAAATCCTCCCATCCATCAAGGCGTGTGTTGTTGCTGTGCATCCAAGCACAGACAGCAGCAGGCAGTAACGAGCACAGCGCGACGGGCCGGCGTGGAGAAGCTGCAGGTTGAGATTAGCAAGTCGTTCTCTTTCACTCCGCCTCTGTGCATTTCTCTGGGGGGGAGGTAATTGGACTGGCTCGCCCGTGTTTCAGAGCTAGGGAATCGGGGGAAATATCCAAAGCAGCCACTGCAGTGGGCAACAATGGACAGAAAGAGGCAAAAAAATATACCCCTGTCTACTCACAGACTCTTGAAGAAGAGGTACCAATGCTGCAAACAGCCAAGTCTGACGCAAATGGTCCAGGGCATTTTTTGACAGGGAGCACTGATGCAAACACGGTCCCCAAAACAGGGTGCGGCGGGGAAGGAGGGGAAAGGGAAAGGTCTGGTTTTGGTTTCTGCAATAGCAGCAGCACATAATAGGTGTCTCACACTGCACAGCCTTGACTACCTTGTCTGTAAAGCTCTGTCCCGTTTCTGAACAGATTTCTCCAGAATTGGAAAAGAGGCAAAACGGCTGGGGGAACCAAACAGCCCGAAGTCTAAAATCCTGAGATAAAACATGTGGGAATCCAAACCAGTTTAAAAACATCAAATTCACAAGGTCAAGTCCATAGGATTCGAACCATCAGCTGCGTAAAGTGCGCATGGAGGACTGCCTTCGCCACGTCCAGCGAGAAGGAAGCTGGAATCAGTCAGCCGTCCAAGGAAAGCACCATATGGGATATTAAAACCGCCGCTTTTCTCCCAACTCGGCAGCTTTCAAGTGAAGTTTCTTCTTCGTACCTGGTGTTGAACTGTATCGCCCAGCACAGAAACCTACACATGGAAAGTCTACTGGTCTGATGAGAAATGCATTCCCAGCGCACAGCGGAGAGGAGGTGACCAGCACCTGGCCTCCCCGGGAATGTCTTCTTGCACCCTGCGTCTTGTTGAGAGAGTTTAATCGGTAGTACCTTGTCAGCGTCCGAACAATGCGGATGCTGGAAAAGCCGTGAGCCCGGGCCCCGAACGTGAACTGGAGCAGAAAAAACAAACTGAGCAGGTCATGCAAATGACTGGAAGGAGAGGAGAGAAAGGTTGCAGGAGGTGCTGGTTGCAGAGAGTCTGCTGGTCCTTTTAGACCAGCTCAGATCCACAGCCAAGCCCAGGTGTATTTTCAGTGGTTGAAACCTCTGGGTGCCTGACATAAGAAGGCCTTTCTCTCCCCATCCTGCACTGTATATTGCAGAACAGTACAAAGCATTGCCATTTGAAAAGTCACTCCTGCGCTGAAGAGAAGCAGACGGCACGGGGGCTACACTCAGCATCGGTATATACACTGATGCAAGTCCCCGGGGATTTAACGGGAGTTGCATCTACCTAGACCAGGGACGGACCAGTCACACCAGGCCTGGATTTGGTGTAGAGTCAGGCCAGAAACACGACGGGCTGGGGAAGAGGAGACAAGGAACAGCACGCAACCTGCATGTCTGCGTCCTGGCAGCGAAGCCGTCCGACGCCCCGTGAGATCCGGGAAGAGCCTGCGTGCGGCGGGATGATCCGTGCCCCGAGCCTCGCCGTCACATCTTCAAGCCGTGCGCTGCTCCGGCCGCCCGCGCTGCTGGGCTCTGGGTGGGGGGAGATCGGGGACAATGGAGAGACGCAGCAGTGGAAAAGCAAAGGCCGCCTGCGCTGTCCCAAGCAGATCCTATCACAGGGCAGGTGAAGCTGTCTCTGTCTGGACTAGCCAGCGCATATACTTTCATCAAAAAACAAGGTATCATCACGAATCGTCATAACATCCTCGGGAGGGTTTTTCCCATCGCAAGCAAGGAGAGTTTGGGAGCCTCCGTCTTGCGTAAAGAGTTTAGAAAGGATTAAAGACTGGCTATCCCATAATGGCACAACCTTACCACAATGCTATCAACACTTAGAAAAGGCAAATAAAAATGAGACGATGCTGACTGCATATGTTATAATGGGATGACACCACCTTGAGCTACTTGCTACGACCGTCCCAAATTGCTCCTAAGTCTCATGGGGCTTGACAAGTTTCCTGAAGACCTAATGAAGCGTGTCCTGCGTGGGAAAGCTTGTCTGACTCTCTTCTGGCCATGCAGCTGGGCCAGTAAAAGATATTGCCCCCCTCAAAATCCTTATGTCTGACCAACCTTCATTGCTCACTGCCATTTCATGCCCACTGACCTGTGTTGTGTCTCCATGGGGAGGCAAAAGCAGCTGGGAATTCAAGAGCTACTCGGTCACTACGGGCTATAAGGGATGGACACGCTTCCTAAACTGGAAGCATGATATGGCTGAGAGTCCTGGACCTGCAGGCAATGCCCCACGGCTGCTCTTTGCTTAGGAGCTTCATTTCACCAGCTCAGGAGCTACGTATGGCTCACAGGTCACATCTCAGCCGCCCTTGGGACACAACCCAGTCACCTCCCAGGCCAGCAGCACTCAGGGCGGACATTTGTTTCTATCGAGCACTGGTCTGAAGTGACCACAGGCCCCAGCACCCTGCAGAATCAGCCCCTGAAAGTGCTTCACCCAGAAAATACTTAGTGCGGACGGAGTAGAAATCAGTGCTACCTGCTTGCAAACACTGCTCCCATCACCCCGTTTGCATGCCCCCTGGATCTGGATCTCCAGGTTATTGTCTCGGGAGGGGTTTTGTGAGTCAGGTCCTACCTCTGTTGGTGGTGGCCAGCGTGGGCCTGGGCTCCTTGCAGCCGTGGGGGGCAGCAGAGGCGGGGCGTTAGCCCCTGGCCCGGTTCTGTGTCCGGCAGGGACGGGGGTCGCTGGCAAGGCCTTCTGCGGCGGGCAGGGGCTGGACGTGTCCTACGGCAGAAACAGAGAGCTCTGGGTCCTCGCTCAGCGCCGATGGGCTGCTGCTCAGGACGGGCCTGCGTGGCAGGGGGCCCGAGGCACGTGTCGTGTTGTGGAGATGAAGCAGCCTGCGGTTTTGTGAGCACTGAAGAATTTACGTGGACGCGTTACAGAAACATGGACTTTGCCACGTGTTCCAAGAGCCCCTTGGTTCGTTCCGGTGTGGCGGAAAAACATTTCACACGCATGTGTGCACGTGCAAGCACCCCCACACAGGCACGTGCTAGAAACGCATGCGCATACACACAATATACACACACGCACACACTATACAAGTATGCTCACACATACAATATACACACCCCACACACAAGCATGATATATGCATGCTCTCACACTGTATGCACACACCCCACACACGCCCTATACATTCATGCTCATAATATACTCACACCACAACACACGCACACTATACCCACATGGTCATGCACAATATATACCCCTCCCACACACATACACGAATGTTAATGCTCACACACCCACACAATATACACCTCCCCACACACACACAAGCACGCTATGCGTATACATGCACGCTCACACACAGTATGCATACACCCCACACACGTCCTATACATTCATGCTTGCATACAATATATGCACACTGCAACACATGCACACTATATACACACGCTCACACCCACACAATATACACCCTTCCACACACAAGCACAATATATATGCACACTCACACAATATACACCTACCCCACACAAGCCCTATACATTCATGCTCACATATAATATACACACACTGTGACACATGCGCACTATACACACAATATACACTTCCTCACATGATACACGAATGCTTACACACCCACAATACACAGCCCCCACACACAAGCACACTATACATGCACGCTCACTCAGTTTACATGCATCCTACATGTGCCCTATACATTCATGCTCACATACAACATATGCACACCACAACACATGCACACTATACACATGCGCTTTCACACATACAATATACACCCCTCATACACAATATGCAAATGTTCACGCACCCACACAATATACACCCCCCCACGCAAGGACACCGTACATGTACACTTACAGGATACATGCACCCCACACGTGCTCTATACATTCATGCTCACATACAACATATGCACACAACACATGCACACTATATACACATACTTTCACACACACAATATACACCCCCATGCACAAGCACACTATACATGCATGCTTATACACAGTATACACGCACCCTACACATTCATGCTCACATACAATATATGCACACCGTGACACATGCACACTATAGACACAGGCGCACGCAGACACCCAATATACACCCCCCACATGCTGCATGAGGGGCCTGATCCCCTGTGCCAGCATCACACACAGGGGCTGTGACTCTTAACACTTCTGCCAGCAGCTACAAAGACTCCCCCATGCTGGCTCAGACCATCCTGCTGAAGAAATGCACATGGTGAGTCTGAGACAACCTTACCTGCGGGACTGGGAGTTTGGGAGCAGGGGGGGGTGGTCTTTTTGGAGGAGGTCGTCTTGGCACATTCTTCATTCCTACCCCACGTGCTGGACCCGGGGAAGACGTGGTGTCACTGCTGCGCCCAGGCGGGAAAGCAGGGAGCGGCTGGAAATTAATGCTGGGCTCTGGAGCCGGCTGGGGAGGAGAGACCGGAGGGGCAGGGGGGATGGCAGGTGTCCCGATAGCCTGTACACAAGACACAGAGCCCGGGGTCACTTCTACATGGAGCTCGCTGCCTTCTCTCCTCGCTATCGCGACTTTCCAATTCTACCAGGAGGCCTTTCGGTCACCAGGGGCGTCAGCGCCGGGGGCTCTACATAGCACCAGAAACAATTCAGCTGGGATTTTCAAGGGGACCCAAGGGCTTTAGGCACTCAACTCCCATTTTCTTCCAGTTAATTACCATTTCCACCCCGCTTTTTGCAAAACTCCGGCCTTTATCGGCAACAACAGGCAGAGCCAGGTTGTTTAGCCTGGCTGCACATCTCTACCTTTCTTTGCTCCTCTGGGGTTTTCAGCTTGAAGGCGGGATTCATGTGGCCCTTCCTACTGTCCTGCTCCGGAGCAGAGGCACTGCTGGGGATTAAGGGAGTTAAAAAAGAAGAACAGGGGTTATTTCCTCAGTGCATCTCCACCTGGCATGAGTCCTGTGTCCAGTTTTGGGCCCCCCCACAACAGAAAGGAGGTGGATAAATTGGAGAAAGTCCAGTGGAGGGCAGTGAAAATGGTTGTGGGGCTGGGGCACATGACTGGTGAGAAGAGGCTGAGGGAAGTGGGATGATTTAGTCTGGAGAAGAGAAAATAAGAGGGGATTTAATAGCAGCCTTCACCTCCCTGCAGGGGGGCTGCAAAGAGGACAGAGCTGGGCTGGTCTCAGTGGGGGCAGATGGCAGGACAAGGAGCAATGGGCTCAAGCTGCAGCAAGGGAAGTTGAGGTTGGATATTAGGAAAAACTTTCTCACGAGGAGGGTGGTGAAGCACTGGAGCAGCTTACCCAGAGAGGTGGGGGAGTCTCCATCCTTGGAGGTATTTAAGACACAGCTTGACAAAGCCTTGTCTGGGATGATGTAGTTGGGGCTGGTCCTGCTTGGAGCAGGGGGCTGGACTAGACGTGACCTCCTGAGGTCCCTCCCAACCCTCATTGCCTATGAGACTATGAATTGTAAAAATCATAGAAAGAAATGCAGACCAGCTCAGCCTGCAACACTGCAAAGGTCCATGTCACTCATTAGCAATGACCTGGACACCAGAATCAGCTGCGGGAGCAATGAGCAGCTCCAGGCATCTCCTCTGCAAGGGGAGGTGTCTCAGTGCTGACCCCCTGGAGGGACCTGAATGGCCTGACCCTCCCCTGGTGTTCACAAGGAGACAGCTCACGGGGGAAAGCCATTCCTGGCGATTTCTCTTCCCCGTGTTGCAAACAGAGCTCGGGGCTTGGGGTGCCGGAAGGCAAAGGATGACCCTGAGCACTCACCTGAACTGCGGCTTCTTTGACTGAGCAATGGCCTGCTTGAAGACCATGAGTTTTTCCTTCCATTTATAGCAGCAAAATACAATGATGAGAACCACCACCACCAGAATGAAAACCAGGACTCCGACAATCACGGGGATGAGGTCTGAGAGCAAGAAAGCAGAGTCAGGCCCTTCCCCACCACCTGCTCTCCTAGGATTGCAAAGGTCAAGTCAGTCACACTCACTTTTGGGGGGCAGGGGCCCGCTGTCGTCGCTGCCCCCTTTCCCGGGGCGGCTGCAATCTGGGGGAGCCCATCCAGAGTCGCAATGGCAGTTCTTGTTGTTGTTGCAAACCTGGATTGGAAACGGGGAGGTTTTGCTGCCAAGGGTGAACCAGCCCCATCCACACAAGGGTCCAAATAAGCAGCAGACGACTGCCGGAGCAAAGGTCAGGGTGACAGCAGGACTGAGATTTAAACCTAGCCAGCCCCATCAGACACCATCCATATGAGAACAGCTGCTTGTCCCTCTCCCCGTCCGACACGAGACACTTACGCCCCGTCCATGGCACCGCTTGCTACAGCCTTCAGCTTCGAAGATCATGGAGGTGTTCATGCAGATGCCCTCGAAGCAGACCTATGGGAGAAGGAGCCGAGCCTCAGTGTAAGCTTCTGGGGACAGCGAGCATCTCGTTGTGTTGCTTTTATGCAGCACCTGCTGTAACGGGGCCCTGGTCCCTGGTGGGAGCTCGGACCCATTGCAATAGCGCAAATCGTACATCCTTAAGCAAATGTCTTTCCCTTTTGTTAGTCCCCACCTTGCCGAATGGAAACCTGGGCATGCAATGGAGATGCTGACACTAAGACGCCAATTGACTTGGAAGCACAGAGTCATAAAGAAGTGGTGCTGGATGGGACCCCCAGGTCACATCTAGCCCAACCCTATCCAAATCACCCCGTATCAATCCACTGTGTAACCTCTTAGGAAAACTAGAGCCACAAGACATCACACAATACCTTCCTCAAAAAGTGAAAAACCCTCCCCCACATCACCACCCCCAACACGTAAAGCAGCAGGAAGGGAAAAATTTCCTTTGCAGTCCCATGCAGCAGCCAACAAAGCCCAGAAGCCGGGGAAATCCCCATTGCAGCGCATGGGCACAGATACTCCTAGATCCCCCCTGACCCATGCATGCAGCAAGTCTGCGGGGGCTGGTGTTCCTTCTTGCCTTGTGCAACTTTTCTAGGCCGCGCCATCTCCACACACAGGATCCATCCTTCACACTGGTGCAATCCGGTGTGAATAACCCCAGGTGCCAGGTGTGTACCTAAAGCCACCCCCGGAGACCAAGAGACGCAGCTACCTACGTGATGGCTCCCACACTTGGTCCCAGTCATCACCAGCCCAGGGTCCAGTATGTCCCCCTCATCCTCCGTAGGCTTGTAGATGTGGGTCCCCCGACAACTGATCCGTCTCCCATTCACGGTGATAGTCGTGTCTATCGCGACAGCGTTGGATGCCACCGGCTTGGAAGCAGAGCTCTGGCACTGAATCTTTCCGCATCTGGCATCTCTGAAAGCGAGAGGTGAGGTGAGCGGCTTTGCCCTGCCCGCGGTGACGGCCTCGTCTTTGCACACACACAACCAACACAACTCATGCAAAAGGCACAGAGGAGAGAGGGGCAGAGACCAACTCTGAACTTGTCAAGAGAAGAGCTCGTAGGCATCGGTCCAGACACGAGAGAGGCAAAGACGCAGTAAGGAGCGTTTCTGGACAGACTCACTTGGCTAATGGTACCCGCAGGGTGTGTATAGAGAGGATGAAGATGGAGGGGACAGGGCCAACAGCAAAGGATTCACACTGGCAACACTCATCCTGGGCTGCATGGGTAGGAGCGGTGCCAGCAGATGGAGGCCAGTGATTCTTCCCCTCTATTCAGCACTGGGGAGGCCACATCTGGAGTCCGGTGTCCAGCTGTGGGCCCCCACTACAGAAAGGATGTGGACACGTTGGAGAGAGTCCAGTGGAGGACAGTGAAAACGGTTGTGGGGCTGGGGGCAGGACTGGTGAGGAGAGGCTGAGGGACCTGGGCTGATTTAGTCAGGAGAAGAGAAGACCGAGGGGGATTGAACAGCAGCCTTCACCCCCCTGCAGGGAGGCTGCAAAGAGGATGGAGCTGGGCTGGTCTCAGTGGGGGCAGATGACAGCACAAGGAGCAATGGGCTCAAGCTGCAGCAAGGGACGTTGAGGTTGGATATTAGGAAAAAAATTCTCCCAAGGAGGGTAGTAAAGCACTGGAGCAGGTTACCCAGAGAGGTGGTGGCATCTCCATCCTTGGAGGTTTTGAAGACCTGGCTTGACAAAGCCTTGGCTGGGATGATATAGTTGGGTCTGATCCTGCTTGGAGCAGGGGTTGGACTCGATGTGACCTCCTGAGTGCCCTGCCAACCCTCATTGTCTGTGATTCAATGATTTTATGACCTGAGATTCAAATGGGGAAATTGAGGCTGGAGACGAGGAGGAGATCCCTGACGCCGAGGGTGCTCGGGCACTGGGACAGGCACCTAGCGACACCGTGGTATCTCCATCCTGAGAGATTTTCAAGAGCAGGTTGGAGAGACACTTGCTTTAGTCAGGGCTGATCCTGCCTTGAGCAGGGGGCTGGACTTGGTGACCTTGTGAGGTCCCTTCCAGCCCTACTTCCCTATGATCCTACCCCCATTTCACTTGGGGAATCCGGTCTCACCAGCATCATAGACAAGACCCAGCTTGAAGGGTCCTTACCCCTATCGTGTGCTAAGGGCAGTCAGTTTGAATGGCTGGCCGTGGATAGGACTATGAACCTGCCTGGTGGCCTCTGCAAGTATATGGAAGAAAGAAAACTTCGCAGGACGTCCCCCACCGTTTTTCTTCCCTGCCATCCCTTGGAATTTAAAAACATTTTAAAAGAGTAAATACTTCACCCAGGTGTCTGAAAAGCAAGGGATAGCTGCTGCTCTGCCTCGTACCTGGCCTCGCACTTCCGGTAGTGGCCATTGATGTCCTTCCCACAGTTCCCAAAGGGGTCACCAGCAGCATTGACCCTCTCGAAGCAGAGGTCAGGAGCGGGTCTGGCTCCTGTAGGGAAGAGACTGATATGACCATTGCTTATGGAAAGCAATGGACTTCTCCAATCCAACCCTGGCTCCTGCCTTCCCCTGACACACTGGGGAAGAAGACATCACTGCTTTTCCCAAGTCAATGGAGCAAGGAAAAGCTTCCAGGTGAGACTGGATTTGACCATTACAGAGGACACGGCTGAGGGACCCCCACGGTAAGCACCTAGCTGGCCCCGATTAGCTGCCATTGATATCACTGGTGTGAACAACATAGCACTGGGGTTTGCATTCATGCTTCCCTCAGCCTCACTTAGCTTCTCCTTCACTGTGTGATGAAGACATCTTTCTGAGGCTTGTGACACAGCAGCTGGAAAGCTATGAGCCCTCTGCTTCTCTAAAAGCAGGTAGGATGTGTGCTGGATAGTCCCAGCTTCTGTCCACAGCCCCCACCCTACAGCTCAACCCTCCCAAGCAGGGATGAGAGACAGGCAGAGGACAGGAGAGCTAGCGTGGAGTCCTGCCTTGCTACTGATGGGCTGTGTGGCCTTGGGCACATCCCACGCCCCCTGCCTTAGCCAGCAATCCCCTAGGGAACAGGCCTGTGCCCAGCACAACTGGTCCTTGGTCCCCTCTGTGCTACAGCAGTCGCAAGGGCAGTGTGGATCTCATCGGGACCTCACTGCGGGGAGCAACCCTTACCGCGGCCCCAGAGCTGCGAGCACTGCTGCTGGTAGGTGAGACACATGCCGCTGTAGCAGTAGGCCGTCCCCCCGGAGCAGTCGGTGCCATCCATCTTGTAGGCGTTGACGGGGCAGAAGGACGACTTGCCGGTGCAATGCTCGGGGAGGTCGCATTGCCCTGAGGTCTCCCGGCACAGAGTCCCCGAAGACACCAGCTAACGACACGGAGGGGAACAAATAGATAAGAGTTACCGGCGGGACCCCCAGCCAGAGGGGATGGGTTGGTCATCGGTTGAGTATCTTCAACCTAACTGGTTAGATTACTGGTTAGTGACAGCTTGCTTTCACCCATACACTTGCCCTCTTGAGAAGCAACACAGCTGTGCCCCCCAGCAGGAAGGATGGAGATGGGCACAGCGCCATCCCCAATGCCATGGATGCCTGTTGTCTGCCAGAAGGGCTGGGCATCCCGGGCGGCTGCTTCCCACGCTGTTATTCTTGCAGAGCAACACAAGCCCCCCAGCCACACCAGACCACTGCACATGCACCCATCCAAAAGGGTGAGTCTCCGGGATGGGAACAGACAGTCCCCTCCTCTGGAGAAGAGAGGGAACGGGTTGCCCAGAGAGGTGGTGGACTCTCCATCCTTGGAGGTGTTTAAAGACCTGGCTACACAAAGCCTTGGCTGGGATGATGTAGTTGGGGCTGGTCCTGCTTTGAGCAGGGGGTCGGACCAGATGTGACCTGCGAGATCCCTCCTAACCCTCATTTTCTACGAGTCTATGAACACGTGCCTGTTCCCCAGGGCCAGGATGGCCTCGGATACATTTTCAGCGACCCAGTAACATAATCACCGAGAGACCCTTGCTCAACAGCTTGCTGGGCCAGTTGTCCGCTTTGAAACAGAAGCTGGCTCCTTGATCCCATTAACCCCTCGTAATTGCAGTGAGGCACTAGGATAAGGCAACCCAGCTGGTTCTGGGCTCCCTTAGGGCCAGGGACAGGGAAGGGAAGGGGGGGAAGCGCTGGCTTCTTTCGGGGCAATCGGCGGTGATGCTGAAGCCACCGAGTGAGAGAGAGACTGGAGGCAGTAACAGAATAACATGACCTAAATGCAACCGTCCGAGTGCTGGAAACAACAGGAATGGAAACAAGCGCTGGTGTCGTGCACGCAACCAGAGCTGCCTCCGAACGTAGCCGTGAACCCGCAGAAGCTTCATGCTGTAAACTATTCACGGGAACGACCAAGATTTTATCATACAACCTGGCAGGTGCTAAGAGCCTGATGGGAGGTGGCCTTTTCTGAACATTAGGCCCTTTTAAAGGGTCTGAAATGTCATAGCCGACCAACGCAGGCACTCAGAATCACACTCGGAAATGCTGGCCTCTGCAGCTTGCACCAGGAGGATGTCGGGATTCACGGGTATTTCCTTCCTCGCCCAAAGCAGCACATTAAAAAGACGGCATCTACCAGAGGTGGTACAGTCACCCACTCTGGCCATCTTCAAAAAGCATCTTGATGCCCACCTTGCTGGGGTCATCGCACCCCAAGGGTCTTTCCTGCTCAAGTGCAGGGGGGCTGGACCTGATGATCTTGTAAGGTCCCTTCCAGCCCCTAACATCTGTGAATCTTAAATGGCCTCTATCTGCGTACCTGAAGTCAATGGTGCAAATGGATCAAAAAGGGTAAGAGCAACCTGGGAACATCAGCAGTGCTGGACTGGGTCAGGGCGAGGGTCCATCTAGTCTTCAGCAGCGCAGGGGTGGATGTTATAGAGGGAAAGCCCCAAACTGGATAGCTCTAGAGTGATCCATGCCCTATTCAATACCCTCCCTCGCACCCACCACCTCGGTACACGTACGTCTGTATCCCGCAGGGGCTGCTAGGTATCTATATTTTACCATGTGCTTCTTCTATTCATTGCAGGTCCAAATAAACAGAGGGCCTGGGCCCATTTGAAAACCCCTCCCTGGACCACCCCCAGGCCTGCGGGCCCTTTGCAATCTGTTCCAGTGAAGAGCCAGGTCTGCCAGGCTGCGAGTGCCTATTCTCAAGGTATCTACCTCTGCCTGGGGACAGAGCCAGGCAGATGCTCCTAGCAAACAGCTGTATTTAAGCTGCCATGTTCGCATGCAAGCTGTGTCCCCAAAACAGTTCACAGGTATCAAAGAGAGCAGAAAAACCCGGAGGCATAAGCCAGATAGACCTGCCTGAGATGGAGAGGCCAAACTGTTGCAATCAGACAGCTTCTGGGATGGGAAATAGAGTCTTGCAGTTCGGGGTACCTTTTCTTTCCCCCCTCCACCCATGTAGCCAAGAGGTCTGCTTCTTCTTTCATCCTCCTGGGGCAAAGCTGGTGCCTCACCTTGCACTGGTGACAGCAGGTGCCGTGGGCGCACTCGGCGCCAGGCTTCAGAGAGCAATCGGCCACATTGCAGCAAGGATTATCGCACTCCTGGGAGGGAGAGAGGCAGGGTTTAGAGGGCAGAGATGGGAACCTGGGTCCCAGGGCAGGACCAGGCTGTTCTTGCATGGGATGAATGACATCCTGCCTTCCTGCACAGAGCTCCTGTCCTGACCCGAGTCGCTCCATGAGCAGGTGTCAGTAGCAGGCTCTGTTTGGACCCACTGCTGCAGGGGCAAGACCCATGGAGTCAGCACACTACGAATACATATTACTGTGCTGCACACGGAGCCAGGTACGGTGTCGGTCCTGTATAGAGGGCATAGGTGCCAGGTAGCCATACGGCATCGTAGGTTTGTGCATGCGTGTTACCTCCACCTCTCCGCAGTCACACTGCTCCCCATCTTCCAGGTAGCCGTTTCCACATCTCTTCCCCCCGACCAGAGTACGGGTGTCGGGCATGTTGGAGAGGCACATCCCCCCGCCTGAAAGCAGGTACCGGTCCAGCTCCTTCTCGTTGCACTTGTTGAACACCCTGGGGAACGGGTGCCTGGGCACAGAACAGGGTGGAAGTTAAAACAAGAAGCAGCACAAAGCAGCCATAAGAACCGGGGGCTGCAACTTCTGGGAAAGTCTTCGGGAGCAAGCGTCTGAGTCAACCGGAGCATGTGGCTTTACAGATATGAATGTGTGAGGAAACAGGGAGCCCAGGGTTGTTCCTCATGAAAACGAAGTCTGGAAACCCCCAGGAGCTTGTGTGTAGCTTTCCCTTCCCTTCCTCTCCATCTGCTGGGACTTCTCTTTGAAACCCTGACTCACGCGACACACGTGAGCTGGTAACTTGGCCTAGATCCATCTGCTCCTAAGCCACATCCGGAGCAAAATGGCAACCTCACATTATTAACCTGTTCGTGGTGTCCAGTGAGTTTGCATTCGGCAGAAACGAGTTTCTTGAATGAATGGAGTATAGGTTGTAGCCATGTTGGTCTAAGGACATAGGCGGACAAGGTTCTTCGGGTAAATGTGATATCTTGTATTAGACCAACTCGAATATGACTAGTTTCATAGTTTCTAGGGTCAGAAGGGACCTGAGTAGATCATCTAGTCCGACCCCCTGCCATGGCAGGAAAGAGTACTGGGGCCAAATGACCCCAGCAAGGTGTTCATCTAGCCTCCAAATTTGAGTTGGTCTAATACAATACATCAGATTTACCCAAGGAACCGTGTCTGTCTTTAATGAATGGAAGCACGTGCATGTTCCCAGCTTTGCACGTCCCATAGCTGAGCCCATGCAATTGCATCCTCTTCCAGGTAATCACCTCCCCTCTGCTCCCAGCCTCTATGCCATACGTGTCAGAGCACCCGATGCCATCCTTCCCTCTCATTGCTATCCCTCCCTCACTCAGAAACAGCTTCATCTGAAATCGCATCACATAACGTACGGTGCTGGGCCCCCCTCGTGTTTCGTTCCCAGTGATCCTAGCCGCCCTCGGCACCAGCAATCAAGTCGGTTGGGTCTCCTCCGCAAAAGACCCCGAAGGACTGACTCACCCTATTGCAGCACCCATGATGCAGCCTCCATCCTCGGACCGGGCAGTGCAGCAGCCACTTGAGTCGTGATTCATGCCAAAATTGTGCCCCATCTCATGGGCAATGGTGGCAGCCACGCCGATGGCACTGGAAGAGTGATCCTGTGTAGAGTCAGGCAGGAGGGTCAGCATTTAACCACCCTGCTCATAACAACGCAAGAGGTAGCACCTGGGCAGACCACAGGTCCATGCACTCTAATGTCCCATCTCTGACAAGGACAAGGAGCGGGCGCTTTAGGAGAAGGATATGGGACACAGGGCAGCTAGGCTGTGGCTTATAAGGAAGATCTTTAGTTTGGATATTAGGAAAAACTCTCTCACTGGGAGGGGAGTAAAGTACTGGAGCAGGTTACCCAGAGAGATGGTGGAGTCTGCATCCTTGGAGCTAAATAAAGCCTTGGCTGGGATGATGTAGCTGGGGCTGGTCCTGCTTTGAGCAGGGGGTTGGACAGGGTCCCTTCCAACCCTCATTTTCTGTGAGTCTATGATCTTGTTAGTGATCCAGAGCAACTCACCATGTTCACTCCTCCCGACTGGAAATCCGAGCACATGGCCATCAGCGGGGCCAAGCCAACCGTGGTCCCATGGAACTGCACCCCGCTGAAAGCGACACCGGAGTGAGGAGGGGCAGCACATTTCCCGCAATCCCAATCCCTACGAACTCACCGCAGCCCACAAGAAAACAGCTTTCTCCGCAAGAGCTTTCCATCTGTTTCAGAGTTTTGTTCCAATGCCCCACCGCCTCCCACTTGACACGTTCATGCCAGGCCAATCTGCCTTTATCCTGGCACGACGGCGAAGCAGACAGACAGTGAGCACAGAGCCCTACCCCGGTATAACATACCTGCCTCCGCTCTAGAATTACCCCAGGAAAAAACACTGCTCCCCCACTGCCAAATGTTCAGATCTGCAGGCCAGGCATTGAGCACCCCTGGTTTAATCCATGATCAAGCACGCCAGACTGTCCAATCATCCTTACAAACTATTGCTTGTAATGGTTTGATGCCAGCCTTGGCAAAAGAATGACCTCGTGAATGTTGGACCAAATACAGAAGAGCGTCTTCCCTGGCAATCCACCCTGACCCAGGGCTGAAGACCCATGCAGAGCAGGCAAGTTTAGCAAAGCTCCAAACCAGCCCAGGGCTTTGATTTGAGGAGTTTCCAGCAAGCTGGACAAAGCCCATTTTGCAAGCTCTGATACAGTCATGGTAGCTTTGGGATCATGAGGACTTAGGGAAGGCCCAGTCCAGTGAGAGCCGAGTGCCTTCTCCAAGGGGCACAGCCCCCTCTTCCTCCACTGATGTCTACAGTGCATTTTGTGACCCAGGGGTTCAAACAAGGGTGCCCGCACCAGTGTGCAAAGGCACGCACAGGTTGGCACACGCATTATATAGCGACTGCAATCACTCCTGCTACGCGTGTTCCCTGTGGCTCCATACAAACCGAAGCTCGCCACTTCACGCGCATTTTTGCCTGTACTCTTGTGCGTGCCCTTTTCCAAAAACCCAGCCCGGTGACCCCTGCAACACAGGAAGCCTTTTCCCTGCTGAGTGATGCCTGCCCGGCGCTACGTCAACCTGTCACCCAGATCCTCAAATGAGTATGTGGCTGCTCAGGGGTTTCCCTTGGATCCCCTTGTTGGATGGATGGTGCAGTTCCAGGGCCAGCGACATACGTGATGAGATGGGCATTGTCGTGCTTCCTGCGCGCCAGCTGCTTGCGTCTCCATGCCAGGAAGGACCAAAGGGTGGAGTAGGGGTTCTCGGAGACGTCGCACTGATCCCGGTGGTTCCAGATGTCCAGCCCAACCAGGGCAACCCGAATGTTTAGGGCCTTGTAAAACTGCAAAAAGGAAAGAGCTGATGAAGTGGAGTTTTTGCCTTGTTTCCAACCAGGCGTAGAAACCTCGCTCCATATGGGACGCCCAGGCCAGAGAAGGGAGGCTCTGTAGAAGCAGGTTGTACCTGAAGAGCTTGGCCTCTGGCTTCACCCCAGCCAGCGTGAACCCTTCTTAAAGCACTTTAGTAGGAGGATCTGCCACCAGCGCACTGTCCCCATGGCTAAGGTGCAATAGAGGACACCTCCCATTTTCCACCCTCCCACATTGCACAGGAGAGTCGCGGCGGAGACTCCTCCTTCCCAAGGATGTCCATCTTGGATTGCAGGTTCTTCCCCACCACCCGTGTTGATCGAGCCCACCTCACCTTATCCACATAATTCGCCACCTCCACTAATCTGTTCCTTACGTCCCCCTGGTACTTCTGAAACTGAACAAGATAGGAAGTCCATGTCATCCCCCAAGCAAGAGCTGGACGCGCAGTTAAGCAATGCTATCCTGCAACGACTGAGGTTGCTACCCCAATGCTTAGCTGGCCCATATATCCCCCCCACCCCAATCTATTAGACTAGCCACGATGAGTGTTTTTAGGTCTTATAATTCCTCTCCATGCCTCAGCCTCCCCGCCAGCTGCTGACACACCACAATGATATTGGCATTAAACAAACACGTCCAGGGTCAGACCCTCGTTGGCCAGATGTTCACATAACGGCCTGGCTAATTTGCCGTGTTGGACAGAAGGTAAAGTAACTTCATGCCTAGAATCAGCACCACCAAAGCACTCGTCACAGAGGATTGATTACACTCCTCACTTCCCCGAGAGGCAGCATGGTTTGATTGCTCCACTTAGAGCAGTTTTGCTCCACTTGTCACATCTGCTCGATATGGAGTTCATGTGGCAACGTTTAACTTCCTTAAAACAAGGTGCAAAAATTCCTATCACAACCAAAAAAGGGGCATGGAGCTCTCTCTGGAAAGGCAGGGCATTTTTCCCTTTAGAAGTGGCTTGGGAGAAATCAGCACCAATCATTTCCATGGCTTCTAAACTGGCTCTGCAGTGAGATGAGGATGAGGAACATCTGGCAGCGCCTGGATAAGCTGCACTTTCTCACAGTCTTTGCCCTCTCCTGGTGCCGTGCAGAAGAGAAACGCATAGGTTCTGCCTCTCTCGTTTCACTCAAAATCAATTTGAGCCCCTGGCCCTGCAGGGCCTGCCTGCTCTATTTTAGGATCAAGTTGTAAATTATGAATGGGGTTGGCCTGCCCTACTCCATTCTGGGACTTGAAGTGACCAGCCTGGTTTTAAACAGCCTTGGCAGGAGGGTTAGATTTCCAGCCTCCCAAGCTTTCTTCTAGCCACCCCTAAACAACAACGGAGACAACAGCTGATAACCCATACTGCTTCTGGGATGCCATGGGCCAGATTGTCAGCTGGCTCAAGTACCACACGCATCTCTTACCTCTGCATAATCTGCCACCAGCAGAAGCTCCACGTACTTCATAGGCTCCGGAGCCGCCCGCCTGGCCTGAGCAGGAGCACGGAGGATTAGTTCCAGCCTCTCCCGGGAAGCACGAGGGATTTTTCACCCTGTTTGAAACCTGTTTTTCTGGGACCAGTTTCCTCATGGACCCTCCCCCTCCATCCCACACTAACACCAGCTTGTTCTCAAGAGGTGGCCTGAGCTGCTTATTTCTACCCTCCCAGTCCCACCCCAAAAGCAACCACCTTGCCTCTTCCTGAAGAAGGGTGCTTGTACTCAAAAGCTTGCAAAGAACAATTTTTCCAACTATTAATTCATCTAATAGGGCACCTGTACACACCATGGTGTTTAATCCTCATTAAATTAAATAGGTTTATAAAATTTAAACTTGTGTATTTTGGAGCATCGCATCAGTGGTTGCACGCACTAGGTTTTCAAATGAATTGCGCCTGGTCCCCAGCTGGCGCCGCAGGAGAGTGGGGCGGTCCAGCACTGTCCCCGTTCCTGCCCCACCCCAAGCCAGGGTCACCCACCCCGTGTCCTGCCACAAAGCTGTAAAAGCAAGGAGCCGACAAATGGCACAAGAAAATAAAAGCGGAACCAATTCGAAAGTGGAAGCAATTCGAAGGGATGAACTACAAAAAAGTCACCATGTGGTGGACAAACAGGCTTATTACATGTTTTTGAGTGCCTTTGTATTTGTTCGCAATGAATCCATGGATGCAACACTTTAATTCTCAGTGAGTCAAACTAAACTACATCCAAGGAGTTTTACTTTAATGCACCAGAAAGACTTTTAAAGCATCCAGAAAACCCACTCGTGCAAACAGTCACGCCATTGCGGCACAAGAAAGGGCAAAAAACATGGTGTGTACAAACACCCATAAAAGATACCACATCTACCCAAAGAACCTCATCTGCCTGCGTCCTTAGACCAACATGGCTACAACCAACTCCCCCTTGCTTCTGCTTCCTCAAGTCTGCCCTATGGAGATGGTAGGACAATACGAGAATCCCCTTGGTGCACAACTCACCCGGTGAAGGGTCACGTTCAGCGGCCTCACAAACTCCTGGAGCCGGCGTCTGTCTGTGGGCTTAGCAAGCTGGTACCCACAGGACCCAGGTGGGACCTTCAGGTGCTCCAATCTGTAGACCCAGTGCTGCTCCCGGCTCTCAGGAACGGGCTCAATGACATAGCTGAGGTCGGGGCTGAGGACAATCAGACCTCTGTGCAAACAGGGGAGAGGAAGAGAGGCCTGAACACTCGTGCATTTACTTGCAAGACCGTGGTTCATGGAAAAGAACAGGGGCAAGGAACAAAAAGGTAATCCTTGGTGGTTTTTGCTGTGACCTAGACCCACACAAGGCTCTGCACTTTCATTCAGGCCACGGGAAGCAAATAAATCCTGGTACAATTTTCAACTGTCAGGTCATATCTAGTTTCTTTCCCATTTCTCCTCACCAAAAAGGCCTATGGTGTTCGCTGGTCAACAGACAAGCACCATCCCTCCCATGCCGCTGAAGCACAGCCATGGAGGGGCTGGGCATGCCCAAGGCATCCAAAGGAAACCCCAGAGGTCCCTACTCCCACAGACCGCCTAAAAGAGATGGGCACCTAATTCACTTAGACTGCTGTATAAACTCCAGCTCAGGTGATTAATAATTTGTCTGTAATGTGCACCAGTGATTTAGGTCTTTTCATTCACAGACCTCAGAGCACTTGAGCTAAAAACAGATTTTTGTCAGATCTTTCCAGGAGATAAAGCCTTTTATTCTGGGATCTTACAGGACCCATAAAATGCCAGTAAAGTCCCAAGATAACACCACCCCCCGAACAAGAGGGGGTGCTAATTCCAGTTGCCTGCCATTCAAACTGTGGACGTGACTGTCCTGGGATAAACTCAGCATCTGTTTTTAGCCTTAGAAATGGGGGCAAGGCTTACTACCCACATGGCAAGTGGAGCACTTCCCTGGTGTGGTATTTTGGTGGTGTTTCTTTGTTTTGTGCACACCTGAATCTCACCCTGATTGCACAGATGGAGAAGCCTTAACTCAGCTGCCGCTGCCAGCGCTGAACAAACAGCGCTCCAAGGAGGCCAAGAGACCCTATTTTTATCTCCTTTGCGCAGGTTTCACCTCACATCAGTCCCAGGAGACTGCAGGGCTTTGCAGGGATGAAAACGAACACCAGCGAGCGACGGATGCTTACAAAGATTCGCCTGCTTCCAGATGCCCAGGCTGCTCTGACCCAGGCCCCTTCCAGCCATTTATCTCACCTGAGCTTCCCTGCCTGGCCTGACTCAGGAGACGAAACACAGCATCATATTTAGTAGGGCAAGGGGCTGATAGGACAGAGCTGTAAGGAAACAATAAATAATGACTCAGGCCAAGTAAGGCTCTTTCCTCGGGATCTGCAACTGCACTCAGAGCGTGGTCCCAGAGGAGGGAGCTGGCCAGGCTCTCCCGGTTGCACAGATTATAAACCTGCTCTTTCAATTTGATGGCTGCTGGCTGCAGCAAGATGTCCAGGGACTAGGGAAACACGTGGCAGCATCACTCAGATTCACTACAGAGGAGGCGTGCATGCAGGAAGGCTCACGCACTGCCTGGGGCGCTTCCTTCCTCCACATGGCTGTGGCCCCGTTCGGATGAAGGGGGCTGCCCCATGGAGAGCAGGGGATGGTCCTGCTGCTGTCAGGGATCAGCCAGGGCATGCGCAGAACCCGCCGTGAGCTGCACTGCTGGGGTTTGCTCCTCACGGAAAGGTTTCCTCATTACCTCCTTGCCTCCCTGGCCCAGAAGCCCCAGTTGGACCGATACAGCAGTTTCCCCTGCAGGCATCTATTACTGTGGGGTCTCTGGACTCCGTGGCCCTGATCCTGCAACAATCAACCATAAGCACACGAAGGGTCCCTTGCACTCCAAAGCCATGGGCTGATGGGAGCGAGTTTCCTACGGAGGCCACGTGGTTCGCTCCAATGATATTTAATACGCACCTGAGTGGGAACAACTCTGCACTTAACAAGGTTTGTGCCTGCCTGGCCCAGTGGAAGATGTACGACTTTGCAGGCAGGATGCCTCCCCCGGGACCTGAGCGTGCAAAGTGAGAAGAGATGCATGCTCTGGTTGCTACATACATCCAGCCGAAGGGTCTCAAACCGTTCCTCAAGCGTCCACGCAGCCCAGATGTTCACCGAGCCATCGTCGCGTCCTCCGCCCCATGGGAGAACGGGGGCTGAGCCAGGCGCCAGGCACAACACCTGCGATTCCTGCTAAGGATTATTTACTGCAAACCCCAGGTGGCCATGCTGCGCCCTGTTTATACCCCCAGAAAGTTTGTCTATATTAAAATCAATTGAGGTCATTGAGGTTTTTTTGGCAAGGTCTGCTGTTTCCTGGTTGGCCTCGATCCCACCAGCTTTCAACCGGCTTTTGAATGGAGACAACCACAAACGTTCAAGCATCCTGTTTACAAACAAATGCGAAGTCTCCAAACCGAGCGCAGCAAAGGTGCATGTGGCACACGGGGCCCAGATCCCAGCTGGTGCCCATTGTGAATGGGACTCCATTGTCTTCAGGGGAGGCACCGCTGATTTACACCGCCTAGAAACACAGCTCTTCTTTTGTTCCACCCAGGACTCCAGATGCTACAGCGAAGGTGAGGTTTTAAAAGCACAGACTCAGCCTGGGACCAGGCCGGCTGGTACAAAGAGCCAGCGGAGCTCACCGCCTTGCAGGAAGCTCATACTGTGCTGCATGGATGCAACTGCTTCCTTACCCATCCCTGCAGGTGCAGAAGCCTTGGGGAGAAATTCATTACTGTGCTGTCTGAATAAGGCCCCTGAGGGCAGGGCCTCTGGGTATCGCAGCCCACACCATCACTGGTGCTCAGAGTAGTCATCAAAGCCAAAAGCAAAACGACGATAGAGCAGGATCTGTTTCCAATGAACAGGCAACCTCATCCAAGCGCCGGCAGTACGGGTCTAGCACCCCAGCTCACCAGTGCAAGCTCAGGTGTCTTGGAGAGCGGCAATAGAGGACGGACCCTGCACTGTGCATGGGGTAGAAAGCTGCGTACGATGGTGCCGAGATGCGGGGACCTTAGCCACGTTCACAGCAGCACCGCAGGCATCATGCCGAAGACAGGCCATAGCTACAGCTCATTAAGTGCTGCAGGCTGCACTTCACATGTGGTTCATCTCCCAATACAGCCACGAGCCAAGCTCCAGGTAGCAGGACAGGACCCCCTTGTCTATGTAGGACCTTCGACGCAGTGTGGCTAAGGGGTGACCAGGGACCAGGGCTCTATTTACAAGTGTGCACCTGGTTTTCTGGGTGACCCTGGGAGCCCGAGGGCTGTGCAAGGGGCCTGCCTTGAGGCCGGTGGAAGGGACTGATATGGGGCGCCGTCAGACTTACTGCAGCCCCGTGCACGTGCTGAGCGCGACGCTGGATTGCCCCACGCCTCGGACGGCACCGTGGTAGAAGCAATGGTCCTGGAAGGAAAAGAGGAGATAGTCAAGGGGGCGCTCAGCTCGGGGACTTCTGGTGCTAGGGGGTGGCTGGGCAGAAAGCGCCCACTGCCCTCAGGACCCAGCGTCACCGATCCCAGCTTCAGCTCTCTCCGCAACAGTCCCTGCCACACCTCAGGCAGCCAGGAGTTATCACAGAGAAAAAGCCCAGGGGCACGTTGAGCCCAAGCCAGCCCGCCCGCTCGGCCCTGGGCCTTTGCATGAACACGCTCTGGTCTAATAAAATCAATGGTGCTTTAAGGCTCCCAGTGGCTGCAGCGCTGAGCCCCGTCCCAAGCTTCCCAAGATCAATGGGAGTCTGTCTATCAGCGAGTCAGGAAGGGTGATCTCATGGATTTTTTCTCTTTTATTTTTAAGTCCAATGCCCATCTTTGTGCCACTGCGGCAAAACGGGAGCAGGGCCCTGAGATCAGTAATTCACAGGGATGGTTGTGAACGCGAGCCAGCTGGCACGGCCTCGCCTTGCAGAAGGCAGAGAAGAGGCGGTGTGGCCCCGCGCCAAGGGCAGGCTCGACGGCGCAGGGGGGTACCCCAGCCAGCTGCAGAGTCGACCCGCACATCTGGCTTCAGCCTGGGTAGAGTCTGCAGGTTGTCCCCTTAGCATTTCATCCAGGTGCCATTTCCAGAAGTGCTTGGGTGACTTGGGAGCCTGAGCCTCATTGGAACATGATGGGACCGAGGATCCTAAGACGTTCCAGCGCTTCGGAAGATTTCACCCCTTGTCTAGCTGATATCCTGGCCTAGCTGCCCACACGTGGCTGCTGGGGTGTGGTAGAGACCGTGGCTTGGAGAGACGGCAGGCAGGATACAACCATTAGCCCAGTCATCCAATGCCATAGGGAGTTTCGTTCCTCCAACAAGATACAGCATTTCCCTTCTTGCCTTTGGCCTTTTGGAGCTCTTGCAAGTAAAAATTTAACTGCCCGTGGCTGGGGAGTAGGAGCTGCCCTGCAGAGCTCGCAGACCCAACCTCCCGCCCCCCCAAGGCTGCGGCTACCTTCACCCACCCAGAAACGATGCATTCAGAGGACACCGGCCCTTTATCTCATGCAACTGGCTACCAAGCCAGTTGCAAACTCAGGTCTCCGGAGAATGGAGCCTGGCGACTTCTCTGCTCCCACTCCCTGGACTTCACCTACATGCTTCACTCACCCCCTGGACTTCATCCACAGCCTGGGCACGTACCGTGTGGTTCAAAGTGACGGTCTGGGGCACTCCAGCCGGGGTGTAATGGGTTTCGGTGTAGCCCGGTGCAAAGAGGTGCCTGCCAATAGCAAAACAAAGACACAAACAGAAGGGATCTCTTGAGGCTTAGCATATCGCCACCCAACCAGCTCTCCTGTGCTGGAATACCAGGCACCAGCCTCAACCAGCTGCTCTGGAAGTCGAAAAACGTCCTGTAGGCATTGCACCAGGCCCCAAGGCATTTAGTGCGCTAGCTCTTTGCAGCCAGGAGGTGCATACGCAACCCAGCATCAGCCAGAGCCTCATCCCAACCCATGTTATATGCTGCTCCTCCCTGCACAGAGGGGGCCTTCATGGAGAGGAGGGCAGGAGCTCAAGGTGTGATGGACACGGATGCATGCACTCACCCACCCAGAGATGATGCGTTCAGAGGACCCCGGCTCTTTATCTCGTGAAACGCACTCTGCCGTGAAAGCGCTGGGCCAGTCATCCTCCTAAGTGATCTTTCAAGCCATTTATTTAATGACATGAAGATGACACAGAAAAGCCAGGCTCCACCGCAGAACAACCCCCACCAGAGCTAAATCCTTTATTGTGGGGCAGTCAGATTCTCCCTCCCCCTCCCACCACACACACACACACACACACACACACACACACACACTTCCTGCCTTATTTCACTTTATTCATAAATCCTTTCCATTGTTTCAACACATGGTAAAGTGCAAAATTGAAATAAAAAACGCTGCAAAGATGACACCGGAGCACAAACCGTGTGTCTACGGAGCACTGGGACCCAGAGTTTGGGGACAGTTTGCAGCTTGATGGCAAGGCAAAAGCAGTGAACCCTGGATCCAAATACTGGGCCATTCGTGTCTGGATGCTGCTACCAGCTTATTTCTGTCCCTGCTCCTGCTGCTGTCTTGAGGACGGATGCAGGTAATGCTGCTGTGTAGCTCTCGTGACCCTTTTTGTCCTTGGAAAACTCTGGCAACCTGTCCAGGCCCTGATCTCGTTCTCCTGATGTAGGATACGTTCCCCATCGCATCAGCCAGGTGCTCAGGATTGGCCCAGGGGCTGTCAGAGGCAGCCCCAAGCATGTCGTCGGCAGTATTTGGATTCAGCTCCAGGGGCAATGCCTCCTCCCGCTCCACTGGACAGCTGATCTTGCAAAACGAGGAGATGCCTACGCCCACAAATCAAGGCAGGGATAGACCTGAGAAGGTCACCGCACGTCTCCATCTCAGCAGCGTGCAAGCAGCCTAAAGCCATCGCCTCCTCTCCCAACCCCTGTAAAAGGATCGCGCCGAATAATCCCTCTACGGAGGTTATTTATAAAGCAACACCGCCGTCCTCTCCGCTCTCGAGGCATCGCGCTTGGCCCCTCTCGAGGATGCCATACTTGGGTGTTGCGATGACCTCCCTCCTTGCCAGCTCCTACCCTGCCCCTTCACGTCACGGTTTGCTACGCTGCACATTTCTAAAACGGGGCCTGCAAAACAGTGGGCTTGTGTCCTTTTTGGAGAGGTTCCCCCCGCTTTATAAAGAAGGCCTGGGGGGGTTGGTGGTTTGGCTCCCGTAACAAAATGAACAGGGCTGTTTTATACCAGATAACTGGAAGTCTCGATGGTTGAATGGGGAATTAGCCTATTTGTCACACCAGAGATGCCAAGGAAGTGAAGCCTGATGGATGGAGAAGGGAAGGGGGTTTTATCCAGGCGGTTTAAAATGCTTTCCCCCATCCTACATCAAACTCCAATCTTCCGAGGAGAGCACGAGCTCTCTTCCTTATCACCCTGCTTCTATTAAAGGAGAGCACAGACCCAGCCAACATCTGAATCACCTACAAATTTCTCCAGTAAAACCTGAGCAAAAGTTTGCCCCCAGTCTCTGATAATCGTAAGGCAAAAAAACCCAGAAAAAATATTCCGGGGGTGGGGGGGATTCCCAAATCTCACACCAACACCAAGAGACTGCCTGAAGAAGGGTGTTTGTACCCAAAAGCTTGCAAAGACCAATCTTTCCAAGTATTTAGTTGGTCTAATACAAGATATCACATCTACCCAAAGAACCTTGTCTGCCAATTTTCCTTAGCACAGACAGAGGCTAAAAAGGGAGCAAGCCCCAGCTTCTGTTCCTCTTGGGCAGGGCACCTTGAAGAGAGAGGGCCACACACGCTTCGGCCCAGGTTGCGTTTCCTTGCTTGCACTGACAGTAAACTGCACTCTCGGAAGTGACTGGCAAGTGTTTCATCTCCCAAGACAGCCCTCTCCTCATCCCCAGGCTGCAGCTCAAGATGTTTTGCATGGTGCAGACAGAGCTCCCAGCAGATAATGGCTCTTTTCAAGCGGGGAGAAGAGGAAGTTGGGGTTTGGAGATGTGCCATTTGATCCCAATTGACATCTGGAAGTGCTGGCTTTCATCTCGGCTTTCAGACTCCAGCAAAGCTCCTTTCTGATGTGCTAATGCTCATCACTGGATCCCCTGCTCGGGGCCTAGGACACAATGCTGCTGTTATCAAGTCTTTCACATCCATAAACAGCTGATCATAGAAACACCATGTGGCAGACAGACAAGGTTTCCCTACAATCACCTCCCTATCAGACCTTGTGATCACCTCCCTGTCAGAGATGGCTCAGAGTGAATCTGCAGAAACAAATGTTTAATCAACAAATTGCATTAACTGCCAGGAAACTGCCTTGAGCAATGAGCTGGCAAAAGGGTCTGGGCTGTGTCAAAGTCTCTGCTTAGAAGGCAGGACCTCACGTCGGGAACTGAAAGAACAGGATGCCTAAAGCCAGCACCAAAGGACAGCCTGTATTTGCTGGCAGGCATTGCACCCCCGGTATCAGAAGGTAGCATGCCAAAAAAAAAGGATCACAGCAGATGGAGGACCCCAGGCATCCCCTGTAGGATCACACAGAAGTAGCCAAACTTGAAAGAGTTTTGTGACCCGTGTTGTGCCGCTGGACACGATGGCTAACGGGACACGGCCGAGGTTATGGAAGGGAAGGTTACGTGCAACCCCAAAAGGACCTTCCAAGAGGGCGGATCGCGACTGGCCAATGTGGCAAAGCCTGAATCACCTGCACACGCCAACGGGAAAATCAAAAACAAACCTGATCTGCTGGGGCTACTCTAGGGGCATGGATACATGCCTGTGAAATGCAGACGATGGAGCTCATGCTCGTTTCTCAACTCCCTGGTGAAACCTGCATGGAGGAGGACCTCGCTGCAGCAATGAAAGAGCCATTGCTGGTGCACGATTCCGGAAAAGCATCTAGTTCATGACAAAGACGCGAGAAGAAGAACCGGGGGTAGATCCACACAGCCCTCCTCAAGCCAGGAGACAGGATCAGACCTGGCACCTGTGAATCTCTGCGACTTAACACGGGCTGAGGGTCTGGCCTTTACTGCCCACTTGGGTGTTCAAAACTGCACCTTCCTGCCTCCAGCCCAGCTGCCTCACACTAGGAGCTCCCCATAAACCTCCACAAAGCCCCCTCCTGCCCCCCTGCACCTTATAACAGGTGCAGCGTTCACAAAACCCCTGAAAGCAAGCAGGCAGCCACCGTGCAACGCTGCCTGCTCCCCAACCATCCTTCGCCCTTGTCCTCTCAACCTCTTCTCTCTTAGCATCATAGAAAATGAGGGTGTGAAGGGACCTCAGGGGGGTCACATCTAGTCCAGCCCCCTGCTCCACGCAGGACCAGCCCCAACTACATCATCCCAGACAAGGCTTTGTCTACCCAGGTCTTAAAAACCTCCAAGGATGGAGATGCCACCACCTCTCTGGGTAACCTGTTCCAGTGCTTTACTACCATCCCAGTGAGAAAGTCTTTCCTAATATCCAACCTCAGCTTCCCTTGCTGCAGCCTGAGCCCATTGCTCCTTGTCCTGTCATCTTCTCCCACTGAGACCAGTCCAGCTCCATCCTCTTTGCGACCCCCCTTGTCTTATCCTTGGGCCACGAGCTTGTCGAGGCAGGGACCGACTGTCCTCTTGTTTTGTGCTCGGGCAGCACCCACCCCCGCGGGGTGCTGGGCTACGACTGGTGGTCCTAGCACTGCAGAAAAACAATGAATAGAAATGATAACAAAGTCGAGCTGGTTTGCACCAAGGGGTGGGTATTGGTGGGAGCAGCACAGTTAAAGCTAGGGGCTTGTGCTGGGAATAAGCTCCTATTCCATCTAGCAGGGTCACCAGAGTAGAAACAAACACACAGACAGTCCCCAGAAGACTATCTGACCTCATTTAATATCTGATGCACTTCGCAGCTTCCTTCTCTCACCCCCAGAGAAGCGTGCCATGGGAAGTTGCTTAGACATCTCGTTCTCATCTCTTGGCCCACAGGAAATATTGCGACGCTTCACTGTTCGCCGCAACCCCTGCCTGAAAAGGGAACGCTCTGCTGCCGGCACTGGGCTCTTTACAGTGGGTCTCCACAGTGCAACGGAAAGAGCTGGCAGCCAGTTGCATCCGCCCCTAAGCACGCACATGCCGGCGGTTACATGACAGGCTCCAGCAATTCAGCAGCGTGAAATTTAGCAGCGCCCAGGAATGACATCCTCCAACAGCGGTGGCCCAAACCACGAGCTCCAGGACTAAGGCATCACTGGACAAACCTTCTCCAGCCGCAGGGCTGCTCCTGAGTGCTCCCAGCTGTCCCTTGTGCCACTGCACTGTCATTGGGTGAAAGCCCCAATAAAGCATTGCTTTCATGCTTCGTTGCCGCTAGTCATAGAGACATCAGGCTGGAAGGGACTTCCAGAGGTCATCTAGTGCAACCCCCAAATCATCGTCCCTTCCCCAATGCATCAGACTGATTTGCAAAACAACACGGTGCAATTCAGTGATCAGACAACCCCAGGCATCCTGCAGCTCCTGGTGATGAAGGGACTGGCATCTATGAGCATCCCTGTGTCATTGAAAGGCTTTTTTGACACCAATCGATGGGGTGCCCAGGGTCCTGCAGCTGCTTTGTGCCATGCTGTGGGTCCCATAGCATGGCACGATGTACCCTCAAGTGCTGTCTTCCAAGGAAAAGGGGGCATGACTGGATGCAAAGGGGGCATGTAC